TTTTTTTGAGACAAGAGTCTCACTTTATCATCCAGGTTGGAGTGCAATGGCATGATCTCAGCTCACTGCAACCTTCACCTCCTGGATTCAAGTGATTCTCTTGCCTTAGCCTCCCAAGTAGCTGGGATTACAGGCATGTGCCACCACACCTGGCTAATTTTTGTATTTTTAGTGGAGATGGGGTTTCACCATGTTGACAAGCTGGTCTTGAACTCCTGACCTCAAGATATTCACCCAACTCAGCCTCCCAATATACTGGGATTACAGGCATGAGCTACCGTGCCCAGTCCTTCAAAGGAAATATTTGCCTATGGAAGCATGCAGATATGTCTATGATTCCCTTTGTTTTAAAGCAAATCATGGTATAACTTACTCTACAGGTTACCATTTAGGAACTAAGTTGATTTGTTGTCAAAGAATGTATCTTAAAGACATTATCAGTCCATGGTGCTGCTTCAGTTTTTAAAGATTGCATAACATTGCATTAAGAAGTTTACCCAAAATTATTAAACTTGACACTTTTTTGGGCACTAAAGTTGTTTGCAATATTTTGCTCTCACAAATGATGCTGTATTAAGTTTTCTAATCAATCCTTTTGTCATTACCAACTTCCCAATACTTATTTTGGAAGATAATTACAAAAAAATGGAAAAACTGGCTCAAAAATGTGTGTATTTTAAATTTGAAAAAATATTAATAAAGTGACTTTCTCTATAGCCTCACTATAAGGAATATATCCATGCTTTCTGGCTTTCTCTAATGAATACGGCAAATGATTCACATCTTACTCAGATTCAAGTGAGGGATCTTTTCCTATGCTTTGAAGTTGTTGAACATAATATCCTATGCTTTATAAGACCTGTGCTTCTTCAACTCTCTAACAACACTGGGTTTCACTCTTTGCCAATAGCATCTCAGATGTAGGCTACTCCAAAGAGAAACTGTGCTATCAGTAGTAAAAGGCAGTCACAGTTCATGGAAGTGAAAAGTATGCATTTCAATGAACATGGTCAAGTAGTAACTCTGTGGCAGACCCTGTGCAAGATGCAGAGTCTCAAGTTCCTGAGACACAGTCCCTAGTGATGGGGATCATTCAGGTTAGAAGGGAGGCTGAGTTAACAGGGACTGTGTGACAGAGTGTAGAACTTCACTAGAAGAACGAGAGAAAGCATTAGAAACAAAGTCGGCAACTGTCTCAAATAGGCACAAACGTCTTGTGTAAACAGAAGTGTGTCTACTAAGTTCACTTGCATAACTAGGAGTTTTCTTGGGGAAAGTTATTGGTACTAAGGCAGAGTGAAGAGGAGGCTGAAAACTTGTTTGGTGGCGTACTGTCTTTCTGATGCATTTTTTTTCCTCCTGTAGGTAAAGGTAAACGGCCAACGCATTTACAGCTTTGTCCATCGACTCCCGCCATCATTTGTGAAGATGATGCAAGTGTGCAGAGATATCTTCCTCACCTCAGTGTGTGTCTGCAATTGAGAGAGATGATCACATTCCTCACTGTTGAGGAATCCCTTTTTCTACCTGACCATGGGATTCCTAGAGCCTGCTAACAGAATTGTCCCTCTTTATCCCTTCCCCCACACTTGGTTATTAAAAAAGCACCAAACCTCACATGCTTTGGTTCTTGCTTTAAGAGGGGGAAAGAGGGAGTGGTCATCCTTAAGAGCATCCAGGGCATTTATGGGAGGCACAATGAAATCAAAGGGGATAAACCTTCCTGTGACAAAGGAAGTGAGTGACAAGGTCCCTGGAATGTCTGAGAAGACATTAGAAACAGCATGCTTCTATAGCACGTAGTTGACAGGTGACATCATACAGTCTGAACCAAATCACCTACTCAATCTCAGATGACTCATGGCACTGAAATGTTAGTTAGCTGTTTACAGCCAGGAAGGTACACCTGGTGACTCTGGGGAAACCCTTGAGGAAAATTATGTGGAATTTCTTAATTTTTTCCATTGTTCTCAGGATGCTTATTGTGTATGAACACTGTGCTTGGCTTTGTGCGGGCTGCTGTGAAGAAACTGAAGAAAAAGATGACAAGTTTTGCATGTAAAGTTTTCAATCCAAGTAATAGAGAATCACTGGAGCCCAGTGATTTCCCTTGAAGAATTCCAGTTATCCTTATTTTCAAACATTTGAAGATGTTTCCATTTTATGTGGGCAGAATCCAGAGGCTTCTCTTTGGAAATAACTTATCACCACATCCACACCAACATCTACAGTGTGTGTGTGTGTGTGTGTGTGTGTGTGTGTGTGTGTGTGTATATTTTAATGATGTTTTAATGATATTCTTGCAGGAGTGAGGTGGTATCACATTGTGGTTTTGATTTGCATTTCCCTAATTATTACTGATGTTGAGATTTTTTTCATTTTTTTTTTTTGGCCATTTCTATATCTACTTTTGAGAATTCTCTATTCACGTTTTTAGCCCATTTTTTGATGAGATTGTTTGGTTTTTTTTGCTTCATTTGACCTCCTTGTAGATTCTGGATGCATCTTTTGTTGATGCAGTTTGTGAATGTTTTTCCCACTGTGTGAGTGGCATGTTTACTCTGCTGATCATTTCTTTTACTGTACAGAAGGTTTTTAGTTTAATTGGGTCTCATTTATTTATTTTTGTTGCATTTGCTTTTGGGTTCTTAGTCATGAATTCTTTGCTTAAGCCAATGTCTAGAAGAGGTTTTCCAATGTTATCTTGTTGAATTTTAATGGCTTCACGTCTTAGATTTAAGACTTTGATCCACCTTGAGTTGATTTTTGTATATGATGACAGATGAGAATTCAGTTTCGTTCTTCCACATGTGGCTTGTCCATGTTCCCAGCACCATTTACTGAGTATGGTTTTCTTCCCCCACTGATATGGTTTGGGTCTGTGTCCCTCCCAGATCTCACATCAAATTGCAATCCTCAATGTTGGAGGAGGGACCTGGTGGGAGGTGATTTGAACATGGGGGTGAATTTTCCCCTTGCATTTCTCATGATAGTGAGTCAGTCCTCATGAGATCATGTTGTTTAAAAGTGTAGCATCCCCTGATTTACTCTCTTCAACCTACTCTAGCCATGCCTATAAGACATGCCAGCTTCTCCTTCACCTTCCACTATGTAAGTTTCCTGAGGCATCCCTAGCCACACTTCTTGTACAACCTGTGGAATCATTAACTAATTATACATCTTTTCTTTATAAATTACCCAGTTTCTGGTATTTCTTTACAGTAGTGTGAGAATGAACTAATACCAAAAATTGGTGCCAGGAGTGGAGCATTTCTAGGAAAATAACTGAAAATAAGGGGCCAACTTTGGAACTGGGTAATGGGTAGAGGTTGGAACAGTTTGGAGGGCTAGAAGAAGTCAAGAAGATAAAGTTTTGAACCTCCCAGAGACTTGTGGAATGGTTGTGACCAAAATGCTGATAGTGATATGGACAGTGAAGTCCAGGCTGAGGAGGTCTCAGGTGGAGATGAAGAACTTGTTGGGAGCTGGAGTAAAGGTCGCTCTTGCTCTACTTTAGCAAAGAGACTAATTGCATTTTTCTCCTGCTCTACAGATCTGTGGAACTTCAAACTTGAGAGAGGTCATTAATAGCATCTGGCAGAAGACATTTCTAAGCAGCAAAGCATTCAAGAGTAGCCTGCCAACTTCTAACAATGTATGGTCATGTGCATAAGCAAAGAGATAATATGAAGCTGGAACTTATATTTAAAAGGGAAGCAGAACATAAAAGTTTGGAAAATTTGTAGCGTGATCATGTGGTAGAAAAAAACCCCTCATTTTCTGGGAAGGAATTCAAGTTTGCTGTAAAGATTTACATAAGTAAAGAGGAGTCAAGACAACAAATGTTGACTTTCATGGCAGACCCTCCCATCATAGGCCCACAGGCCTAGGAAGAAAGAATGGTTCTGTAAGGTGGGCCCAGGGCCCTGCTGCATTGCACAATCTTGGGACACTTCTCCCTGCATTCCAGCTGCTCAAACTCTAGCCGTGGCTAAAAGGGTGCCAAATACATCTCAGGCTGCTACTCCAGAGGGTGCAAGCCATAAGTCTTGACAACTTCCGTGCGTTGTTAAACCTATGGGTGCACTGAGGGCAAAAGCTGAGGCTTGGGAGCCTCTGCCTAGATTTCAGAGGATGTATGAAAATGCCTGGATGTCCAGACACAAATCTGCTGCAGGGGTAGAGCCCTCATGGATAACCTCTACTACAGAAGTGCACAGGGAAAATGTGGGGTTGAAGCCCAAACACAAGTCCCCACTGGGGCACTGACTAGTGGAGCTGTGACAAGAGGGCCACAATCCTCCAGATCCAAGAATGGTAGATCCACTGGCAGCTTGCATCATGTGCCTGGAAAAGCTGCAGGCACTCAATGCTAGCCTGTGAAAGCACTCACAGGAGATATAACTTGCAGAGCCACATGGGCAGAGATGCCCAAGGCCTTGGGAGCCTATTCTTCACATCAGTGTGGTCTGGATATGAGACACGGATATTTTGGAGCTTTAAGATTTAATGACTACCCTGCTGGGTTTCAGATTTCAGAGGCCTGTAGTCCCTTTGTTTTGGCAGATTTATTCCCTTTTGGAAAGGGAGTATTTACCCATTGCGTATATCTCCATTGTGTCTTGGAAGTAATTAACTTGTTTTTGATTTTACAGGTTCTTAGGTTGAAGGGATTTGCTTTGTCTCAGATGAGACTTTTTGGACTTTGGGCATTTGAGTTAATGCTGAAATGAGTTAAGACTTTGGGGGACTGTTGGGAAGGCATGATTATATTTTGCAATGTGAGAAAGACATGAGACTTGGGAAGGGCCAAGGGTAAAATGAATGGTTTGGGTCTGTTTCCCTGTTTAAATGTCACATCAAATTGTAATCTTCAATGTTGGAGGAGGGGCCTGGAGGAAGGTGATTGGATCATGGGGGTGATTTCCCCTTTGCTGTTCTTGTGACAGTGAGTGAATCCTCAAAGATCTGGTTGTTTAAAACTGTATAGCACTTCCTTCTTTGCTCTGTCTTACTCCTAACATATAAAACGTGCCAGCAGCCCCTATGCCTTCTGCCATAACTGTAAGTTTCATGAGGCCCCCCAACCATTCTTCCTATAAATTAGCCTGTGGAATTTTTGGCCAATTAAGCCTCTTTTCTTAATAAATTATTCATTTTCAGGTATTTATATAAGTGTGAGAATAGAATGAAACACCCATTTTATGTTTTTGTATGCTTTGTTGAAGATTCATTGGCTGTATTTGGCTTTATTTCTGGCCTCTATATTCTGTTCCATTGGTCCACATGCCTACTTTACACCAGTACCTGCTGCTTTGGTAACTATAGGTGTGTAGTATAATTTGAAGTTGGGTAATGTGATACCTCCAGATTTGTTCTTTCTGCTTAGTTATTGCTTTGACTATTTGGGCTCCTTTTTGGTTTTGTATTAAATTTTAGGATTTTTTTTTTTACTTCTGTGAAGAATGATGATGGTATTTTGATGGGAATTGCATTGAAACCGTAGATCACTTTGGGCAGTATGGTCATTTTCATAATATTTATTTTACCCATTCATGAGCATGGGGTGTGTTTTCATTTGTTTGTGTTGCCTATGATTTTTGAGACAAGCTCTGGCTCTGTGGTCCTGGCTGGGATGAAGTGGTGTAATCATGGCTGTCTGCAACCTCAAACTCCTGAGCTCAAGCGACTCCTCTGCCTTGGCCTGCTAAAGCCCTAGGATTAGAGGCATGAGCCACCATACCCAGAACCACAGACCATTGTTCTTTAAGAGAAAAACAAGTTCATTAACCCTGAGGGTAGCCTCCAGGAGTTAAGATATGACATTAACTAATTACTAGTGACTCCCCTCTACCGAAATGACCATGTGAAAGCAAGAATGCATGGAGAAAGAAAGGAAAATAAGGAAAACAACTCTCTCGTGATTGTCATCATACAAGCTCGGTTACAATCCAGTAGGCAGAATGCAGTCAACCACCTGCTGACTTGGGTATACAAAAGGCCACCCTCTTACCTCAAAAAGCAACTCTGCAATGCAGTTCACACTCCACTCCTTCTCCCTGAAATCAGACTAAGCTAAGCAGCCACTCTCAAGCCACTGACGATCCTTCACCTGTTCTTCTATCTCTATAATTTGCATATACTGGACATTTTATGTAAAGAAAATCATATAATATGGCTTTTTGTTTCTGGCTTTTTTTTTTCACTTAAAACATTAAACACATACATTTTTTTGAGATGGAGTCCCACTCTGTTGCCCAGGCTGGAATGCAGTGGCACGATTTCGACTCACTGCAACCTCCGCCTCCCAGGTTCAAGCGATTCTCCTGCCTCAGCCTCCTGAGTAGCTGGGACTACAGGCGCAAGCCACCTTGCCCAGCTAATTTTTTGTATTTTTAGTAGAGACAGGTTTCACCATGTTAGCCAGGATGGTCTCAGTCTCCTCACCTCGTGATTCAACTGCCTCAGCCTCCCAAAGGGCTGGGATTACAGTCCTGAGCCACCGTGCCCGGCCAACATATAATGTTTTTAAGGTTCATTTATGTTGTGGCATGTATCAGTATTCCTTACTTTGTAGTTGAATAAGATTCCATTTCATGAAGATATCACAATTTGTTTATCCTTTCAGCAGTTGATGAACAATGGGGTTGTTTCTACTCTTTGACTATTGTCACTTTTTCTTTCTTTCATTCCTTCTTTTAGTAAAAAGAATTCCAATACAGTTAAAACCAAACCAAGTACTTCCATAATCCTATGATTACCATTGTACCCCTACCATTCCAGTGTCACAGCTACTGCAGTCCTTCACCTTCTCTCAGTACTTCCTGCCAGTAAAGCACAGGTGACATTCTTAGTAATTGTGATACTAAGTACACCATAGGTAATTACTAGTTCACTTACCAGCAATGGCTCTTTACTGTGATCTGCCCAATAAGAGATTTAGGCTCCAATTATGAGGGTCCAACTTCTATGACTTTCTCTGGCAAAAAAGCTTGTTTCCACCATCTCCCCCCCAAATATGAAATGTTTTTTTTTTAAGTACTCTCTGCCCAGAAGATGAAATGAAGCATTTATCCACCTGCCGCCATCCCCAGCTGTTAAAAAGTTATCCTATTGGTATGAAGTCTTCCCAATTTTGGTTTCCAGATGTATGGGTGCTGAGAAGATTTCTGCAGGAGTCTTATTTTACCATCTCAAAGAAGCCCAGTGCCAGAAAGAGAAAGGTACTGGAAAGATAGATATGAAGGAAAGGCACTGTGTGTACCTGCATGAAGCTAGTGAGAAACTGTCTGGACCTGGTCGTCTCAGTAATGGCTGGATGAACAGGTGGGGGCTGAGAGGATATCATGTGGTGCAAGAAAAACTTGATATACTGACTTCCTTTCAATTCCTAGTACACACCAAGCTAGGAATTTTCATTTTTGAAGCTTCATGCATGACAAATTCAAAAAACATCAAAAAATGTCGTAACAAGTCAGGGAGAATGTTCTAGATTAAAAGAGACTAAAGAAGCATAGAAACAAAGTGCATGAAACCTGATTGGATGGATTTAAAAACAGCTACAAAGGACATTCTTTTGGACAACTGGGGAAATTTAAATAGTACTGTAAATTAGATGTTGAGTCATAGGTGGTGGCAAAGTAGAACTTCTAACAATCTTGTGGATCTGAAGATACAAAAATTGTAGGCTGGTGTCTGCCAAGTGGGAGGGAGAGTTAGGCTTTTAGATGGAGCCCTGAAAGTGATATATCCTAGAGCAGAGGTCCCCAATCTCCAATCTACAGACCAGCAACAATCCGTGGCCTGTTAGGAATGGAGACACACAGCAGGAGGTATCATGTAAGCATTACTGCCTGAGTGGCCTCCTGTCCAATCAGCCCCAGTATCAGATTCTCATAGGAGCACAAATTAAAATTTTACAACCAGAATCCCACATTGTGGGTGCCACAATGTTTGGTTTTATTGCAAATGGTAGCATGACTATAACAATTGCCACAAGGGTGGTGTAGTTAAAAAAAAAAATTGTTTAAAACTTTACTTGCCCAAGGTTAAACATTTCCCTTTTTGGGATTTACAGAGTTACAAGTGCAATATCATGTATAATTAAAAATTTCCTGCAAATATGCAATAAAAAGAAGTTTTAATATTTGGTAGCAAACTTTGAGAGGTAAGGGCAGAAATGACAAAAAGTATCTGTTTAGGTAAAGGTGGGACTGAGTCATATGAGTAACCGTTACTCAGTTACTTAATGTTTATGATTTTTAGCTTAAGATTTTCTATTTTTCCACATTGATATTCTGGTCGTATCTCTGGGCTGCTAAGGGTTGCTCCTTCAGCTTTTAGGCTTTGACTTCAGTGTGACGTATTTACGAGTTGACTTGTGTAACTTCTGCTGCCAAGAGCATTGAAAGAACAGTGTAGGGTCCCTTCCCAGCTTGGCTTAAGGAAGGATAGAGAGGAGAGTTTTCACTAATACTAAATTTCCTGGGTTAAATAGAGATCGTTTATTTCCTTGGACTTTGCTAGTTATGTCAATGCCTTGAGGCTTTCTTGCCTCTGACTTAGCTTCCTGATGAGCTAATTTATTTTCTTTGGCTACCTTATTTATTTTCTTTTGATGTTCCCTACAACGCATACCTGCTATTTCTTGTGTAAGAAAATCTGAGGATAATAGCCTGTTAATTTCCTGGTGATACTTTATGGGAGATTCATCAGCGGTTAAAAAAAAAAAAATGCCTTTTTAAAATGGCAGTATAAGCATGGAAAATTAGAAAAGCATACTTGGAGTTAGCATAAATGTTTTGAACACAGTGATCTCTGCCTCTGGGCAGTTCTGTTCCCAGTGTTTTTGTCACAGCTTGGACAGGGATGAGGTTACTTAACTACCTTGCTTTTGCTTAATTTATGTGCTGTTGTAAGAGCTATCAGCTCAGCCAACTGAGTGCTTGTGTTTGGGGAGAGTGACTACTGCTGATCCTGCCTTATGTACCTTCTTTACCAGCTGTTTTCTAGCTAAGAGTTCCCTTTAGAGGAAAGTGATCCTGCCACACTATGTGGGCTGTAAAAAGTTGAATTATTTTCTAGGGTTAACTTGGAGGCTTTTCTGACTAGCAGAGCTATGATGACAACACCTTGGAAGCATGTGTAAATAGGTCTTTCTAACTGCAAGTAAGGTTGAGAAAAATATAGGATTAGAGCCTTCCCTGCGATGTCCCTTTCTAAACTTCTCCTTCAGGATGAGCTGTTCCTCCACTGAATTAGGGAATAAAGAAATGTGCTCTATTAGTGCCTCTCTTAGTCTTTCGATAAAGGCTATAGAATTCTTATCTGGCTTTTGGTTCATTATAGATAGAGTAACTGAGACGTTTGGCCCTGGCTTTTCATAGGACTTTTAAAATGTGTTTAAAAGTTGGTTTCTTTTCCATTCATTTCCAGAGCCACTGTGGTTTTAGTTAGGGCTGTTTACCGGAACTGCTTCCCTCTCTATTGGGAATGGTGTTTTTGCTGTTTCTTCACTGTCCCTAACTGCTTTATTGCCTTTTGGTGTATTATAGGAGATAATTTCATCTCCGAAATTGTCTGCTGCTTGCAGAACTACCTGCTTTTTAGCTGCAGGTTTGGTTTACAAGCAGCATAACATCATACCATGTGAGGTGGAACACCTGATTAAATTTTGGAAAGCTTCTCTATACAGGGTTTTTAGAAAATCGGCCTAAGATTCCCTTTATTTGCCTAAGGTATTGTAATGAGAAGGGAATGTGAGGGGAGCCCAAATAAGGGGGATCCTCAGATGGTTCCCCTGAAAGTTTCTTTTTTTAATTATGGAGAACTGTTTTTCCTGGGCTTTTCTGATATGATTGCTAAAAGAGCTGGATTGATCTCACACCACTTACAAAGGTTTAGTAAAAATGCCACGCCCCTACGCAAAAGAAAATGAGTTACTTTTCTCCGTAAAGTTTTGAGTTTAACGAAGTTTCAGTGTTTCAGAGTGCACTGCAGAAGGGTACAAGCTGATGATAATTTATAACAGATTTACATAATGTAGCGAAAATAAAGGCATCCTCTTAGCCTCCTTCCTTTTCTTATGACTCAGAGTGGAGGAGAAGACAAGGAGCATCCTCCGAATACTTTCCCTCCCTGGTTTCTGGATCTCAGCACCATGTTAAATGTGCCCCCCATGGTTGTAGGCATGGTCCAAGCCATGCAACTGGATGAACTAAGTGATGGGGCTAATCATGCTCATCTATGCAATTTTATTTTTTTTAATTTTCCATTTTTTACATAAGGTGCATACTATATCTGCACTTCTCCCCATGTTATCCCTCCTCACCCTCACCACCCTCCGCTGTCTCTCCCCTACCCCCCCCAACTGCTCCCAGTGTGTGATGCTCCTCTCCCTAAGCAATTTTAGCTTATCCACCTGGTGTGATTTACTTTGATTTTCTAAACCTGTGTGATTTGCCTGGCTCCCAGAAAAAAAAATCTCTGGAGGGACTGTGTCACCTTTGCACAATACTTCTTTAATGGAGGCAATGTGCTAGATTGCCTGGTACTACAACTCATGCTAATGCACTTACCCTTAAAAAAAAAAAACACGTGTGGTTAACGTCCAAACTTAAAATACCCTTACTAATTAAGTACTGTCTTAACTGGAGACAGAATAGGTGCCTTAAAAGAAGGTAGAAACCGAATGGCTGTTTTCCTACGGATAAAACAATATCAGAACTAAACTCTGGTTGTGGAAGACATCTAATTCCTAACTGTTGAAAGCAAAGCTTTCCCATCCACAGAAGTAGCAGTAGAAAAGCACAAAATGGCAAAATTGTGAACCTGTAATCTATCACAGGGAACCAACAATGTGTCTTACGAACAGGATTTTTATTTCCACTAGGTGGTGGTGTTGGCTTAGAAATACCATGTGCTTACCAGAGACACTGTAGAGATAAGTTTATTGAGTTACTGCCTGTCTTGATTGTGACCTTATTTAAGAGACCTGTTTCTCTTAACTGTAAAGATTCCTGCACATTAGGCACACACACATAGAGTGTAAGTGACCACGGATAGGGAGAGAAAAAACATTTGGCAACAGGATAGCTGGAAGAAACCCTTGAAACTAAAGGGCAGATTTAAAGTTGAGATTCACTCCATACCCACCAGTTTGATGAAGAAATTTCCCATTCATGGCCAAAACACCAAAATGATAGGGCTTCAATGACTGGAGGAACGCCAGGGTCCTTGGTCCTGTGCTAATAGGATTAATGCCACGGACACACATGGAGTGATTTTAAGGAGTAAAAAATTTAATAGGCAAGAAAGAAGAAAGGAAGAAGAAAAGAGCTCCTCTGCACAGAGGAGGGGTGATTTGAAAAAAGAAAACCCTGTGTGCAGGAAAAAGTGGCTGCTTATATTGGGATTCTGGAGGAGTCAATGTCTGGTTTCCATAGAGCTCAGCAGACCGGTTTGACCAGGTGTATTATTTATGTAGCCCATGAAGAACCTGACCTGAACACATGGTGTTATCTGGAGGTGGCCACAACAGTTGGTACACCTGGTGACAAAAAAACAAAAACAAAAACAAAATCAAAAAACCCAACAGGAATAGCCATGTTGAGTAAGCCCCCTTTCTCATGGCCAGCAATTGCATATCAGTTTGTTGGCCTGGCCCTTCAAGTTGCCTTTTCTGTTAGAAAACAAATGGATTGGAGGATGCTTCTTATGACAGAAAAATTTTCACTAAGAACCTTTACCCTTACTATCTGCCTAAATACTATTTCTTAATAACTCCCATATCAGAAGGATAAGAAATAATGTTCATGCAGGTCACAAGAATAAAAAAACAGAGCCAATTCCATGATATGTGATACCTAAAAATGGCTTTGGAAGTGACTATTTTATTGTGGCCAATGTTTGACCTCCTTTAAAAGCTGCGGTATCATGACAGTGTGGTGCTGGCTTAAGAAGAGACACAGGAATCAAGGGAGAAGAATAGAGAGTCTAGAAACACAGAGTCACCTGAGAGTCCGCAATAGGCTAAGACCATCGCATTGGAAAAGGACAGTCTTTTCAACACATGATGCTGGGGAAACTGGACTTACACACACTGGTGCCTTACCTTCTAACACATACAAAAGTAAACTCAAAATGATATCAAATAATAAACGTAAGTCCTTCAATGATAAAAGCCTTAGGAGAGACACAGACAGATATCGTCATGACATGAGATTTGGCAATGATTTCTTGAATATCGGCTGTAAATACAGATGAAGTGCACTTTATCATTTTTTGTTGTTGTGATTTGGGCTCTTGGCTTTATTTTCATAGTTATTAAAACATTAAAAAATTCTCAAGAAATCCATGGTGCAGACATAAATAATATCATAATTTATTTCTGGATTCTAATGAATGCTGTCTAATTAGTATTATCAGACAGATGTGATAAGAAAGACATTTGTTTATTAAGAAAGCAGTTATCAAGACACTCAGCATAGATTCACAACTGCCTAACTTCAGTGAATTGGTAGGCAATAAGAATAGCTGTCTTCATGATTGTTTTATGAAAGTAGAACCATAAATCTTTTGAGTAGGTTTGATGGGAAGAGGAGGGTAAAAGCCCAAGTAACAAAGGGAAAAACAGACAAAGTGCACTTTGTCAAAATTCATCACATCTGTTCATCAAAGACCACTGTAAAAAGGGTAAACAGTCAATTGACAGAATGGAAGATAATGTGCAAATCATATATCTGAAAGGTGATTATTATCTAGAAGAGGGGTCCCCAGGCCACAGATAAATACCACTCCTGGCCTCTTAGAAAACGGGCTGCATACAGCAGGAGGCAAGCAGTGGGCAACCAAGCAAAGCGTCATCTGTATTTATAGCTATATCCCATCCCTCACATTACTGCCTGAGCTCTGCTTCCTGCCAAATCAGCAGTGGCATTAGATTATCATAGGAGCGTGAACCCTATTGCAAGCTGGTTGTGTGAGGGATCCAGGTTGTTTGCACCTTACGAGAGTCTAACTAGTGCCTGATGATCCAAGGTAGAACAATTTCATCCAGAAAGCACTACCCCAACCCCCACCACACACACATCCCTGGTCCATGGAAAACCTGTCATCCACAAGACCATGCTCTGGTGCCAGAAAGGCTGGGGACTGCTGATCAAGAACATATAGAGACCCTCAACAACCCAATAACAATGACAAAAATATCCCACCCAATTTAACAATGGCCAAAGAACGCCAAAAGACATATCTCCAAAATAGATATAAAAATTGCCAATGAGCACATGAAATGACACGCAACATCACAAGTCCTCAGGGAATGCAAAGTCAGAGCCACAGTGAGATACCACTTCATGCTTATTAGGGTGGCTATGATGTTTCAATGCAAAATAACAAGTGTTGGGAGCACGTGGAGAAACTGGAACCCTTGAACACTGCTGCTGGGCGTGGAAAATGGCATGGCCACTGTGGAAAATATTATGGCAATTCCTCAAAAAGTTTACCATATGATTCAGAAATACCACTTCTGAGTATACACCCTAAAGTACTGAAGGAAGAGAGCGGTGTTTGTACAGTGATGTCCATAGCATTGTTCATTATTCACTACAAGCAAAAGATGGAAAGAACGCAAAAGTCCATCTAAGGAGGTACCTCCAATGGAAGATTATTAGTTTTCAAAGTGGATGCCACTCTGATATTTGCTATCACACGAATGAGTCTTTAAAGTATACTAAACGAAATAAGCTTGACTCTCCAGGAGGTTATAGGTACAGGCTGGAGAGGGAAGGTAATGGGGCAGGGGTGGGAGCTATAAACATTTGGACCCTTCTTCCAGCAGCTTTCTTGGGCCTTCAGGGCCTGCTTAAGCCTCATCTCACATAGATCAACTCTAGTTGGTAATGGAGAGCTGCTGTACTTGCCACACCTTTTGGCTGAGTGCATAAAACACCACCTGGCTCTTGTTACACAGCCAGGTCTCACAGTAAATTGGAGGCCATGGTTAAGCATTCACTCTACTAAGGCCCCGTGGACAGAGAAAGGCTTTTTCTGAAAAGCAGAGAATGGCATGAGGATGACATGGCTTTGCTCTAAAAGCTCCAAGGTCTCTGCTGTCATTCCTGTATACTCATTCAAACTTTCTGCCAAATTTGC